ATTCAGCAGGCAATTCAACTAAGACTAGAATGCCCTTGATAACTTCATTTCACTGTCTGGCATTTCAGCTGCAGTGGCCAGGATAGCTAGGAGCCAGCCAGGCTTCTCTCTGTATAGGTCATTCATTTTGTTGTCTAGCTCAAGCTTCTTTACATGGTGGCTAGATCCCAAGAGTAAAAATGGAAGCCACTAGAGGTAGCAGCGAGGTGCAGATATGGCACATAGTTACTTCCACTGCATTCTGTTGGTCACAGCAAAGTTGCATCAGTAGAAGGAAAGGAAAAGGAGGAAGGAAAGGGGAAGTACTAGAGACTGAATTAAAACAAATTATATTCCATGCTTTTATAATTATGTCAAAATGAATCCTATTTCATGTATAACTAAAAATGACCAATTAAAAAAAGGAAAAAAAAAAAAAAAGCAAGTTACAAACCATCCCAAATTCAGGAGGACAAAAAGTAGGCTCTACCTCTTAATGGGAGGAGTTGTTGGTGTCTATCTTTGTAGACAGTCAACAAAAAGCTCTTAATAAATTCAGATCTTTTTTTTTTTTTTTTTTTTTTGGTAGTTGTAGATGGACAGTGTGCCTTTATTTTATTTGTTTCCTTTTTTTAATATATATAAAGTTTTTTAAGTGGACACAATATCTTTAATTTACATTTATGTGGTGCTGAGGATCGAACTCAGTGCCTCAACCCCAGCCCTCCTTTACTTTTATGTGGTGCTGAGGATCAAACCCAGGGCCTCAAACATGCTAAGCAAGCACTCTGCCACTGAGTCACAGACCCAGCCCAGATCTTACTTCTTATACTCACCAAACCTTCAGAATTTTGCTGAAACTGGCAATTAGCAGGAAAGAAGTTTGTTGTAGTTTCTATTCAGGATGGAGGGGAGGGAGATAAATATTATCATGTAGTAGTTATTAAGTGAATTCTACCCCTCTGCCACAGATCTCCGATACTAGTCCTCTGCATGAAATACTTGTAACTGAACGTTGATTTGCCTTGTGGCACTTAATCAAAAAGGGTGTTTGTTGTATACCACTTATGTATTAAGAGCCTGTCTTGAACATTGAATTGGAAATGCAAAAAAAGTGAAGCTTTTTTGTTTACTGAGATTTCCACTTTTAGTTGCTATGAACAAAGGTTGGGATTTCTTCTCTGTAACTTCAGAAGTAGTAAGTGTGAAATCGTCAACCAAAATTAGAGGGCAATCCAAAGGGACTCTGGTACTAGTGAGGCTTAGAATCCCACTAGTGGCTCATAATATCCCCAGTAAAGTAGTAAGCATTGGACAGGTATTGTTATATTCTTTAGCAGTCATATATGTTGGATTTTGTCACGTGATTTCTAGACCTTTGCACTGACATATTTTTGTGTATCTGTTCCTCCAACATCAGTCAGATTTTTAAATTTGAGAATTTTACACTAAGATCTCACTTTTTCCCGTGGAATCTATATCTCTTCTCTGGAAACAACTTTACGGTCATGTTTGTCCTTTATAAAAATGTTTATCACCCGTGTAGGATGGTGGTGTGTGTGTCTGTGAAGAACTAGAGTAAAAGAGCTGCGTGGGGAGCCCTATGTAGCTGGTGGAGCTGAGAGTGAAGCCAGGGTTCAGTAGGAAGTTTCCTTGTAAAGGTCTACTTTCCAGAACTCCCAGTTGAAGCCAGCTTTTAGTGTGAAAGCTATTTACAAATGTATCATTTACACTGGCTTTTTTATATTGTAACATTTTTTTTGAGTTGTGTTACTACCTTGAAACTACTTGTCCTTTGAGGTAGGCTTTTTTTCCATATAACAGAAACATGACAATAAATGACCATAATATAACTGGACATTGTGCGACAATGTGAGACATTTATAGTAGGAAGTCAGGGCGGCATGAAATATAGCAGGTACACTCCTCTGGGAATGCTAGGGAGGTTTTTATGAATAGTTTGGAATATACCCATGATCTTGCTTTTATTTCCTTAGTATCTGAAATGGGGATTTTTTTTCCTACAAATCTGGTTTGCAGATTATATAGTATGCTGCTTGTCTCAATAAGAAAGGACAATAATATAGCCTGGATACCTTGTCTTGGGCATCCTCTCTCGAACATAAAGGAATAAAGTGGACCCTTCTAAGGAGCTAGATTCTGCAAGGGGTATTAAGAACTGTATATGAGAAGGTATTATACATGGCACAAAGTAGTTATGTACTGGCTGAAAGGAGGGAGAATTTACCATAGAGTGTGCAGGAGGGTCCAAAAACAGCCTTGGAGATGAGCCTCGAAAGGGAAGGAGATGGGAATAAAAGGTCAGAGAAAGGGATTTTGAGGATTTTCAGGAGTGAGGAGTGGTAGGGGCAAAGGGGCAACTACACATGACGGGAAGGTTGTGTTCAAATGGTCCATTTAGTGTAAACTGAGAAGAAGAACAATGAGAAGGATGTCTGGCTTAAAGCCATTTAGGGTAGGGCTTTGATGCCTTGCTAAGGAATGTGCACTGTCAAAAGGTGGTTGAGTGATCAGAAACCTAATTTTGGCTGTAGTAAGTGGGCTGGATTGAGAGCCTGGAAGCCAGAAGCCAGATCTTTCTGGAGTCCAGTAGGAGATGATGGGGACACTGCAGTAAGTTGGTGTCTGGAAATGGAAGGCAGTGGTAAAGAACATTGCAAAATCACGATCTTACTTCTTCTACCAGGATGTGGTGACTAATCAATCACAAACATGAATGCTTGCTCAGCCTGTTTTTTTTTTTTAACCTGCCCTTACTACCAGTCTTCAGAGGTAAATAGTGATATAATGTAACATTCAAATTCTTCAGTTCCAGTAATATATCTGTCCTAGCTGAGTGAATGAATTATTTGCAACCTTGACTTGGTGAGTGTGTTCTTCTGAGGCCTATTCATAAGGTAATATTTCAAAACTTAAAAGCACACAAACTTTGATTGCAAAATCAGTTCATTTGTCTTATATGAATTTTGGAACTACTAGAACTTTTCATTGCATTGATAATTTAAACAAAACAAAATCAGGGCTCTGGGTGTAGTTCAGTGATAGAGCTGTTGCCTAGCATGCATGAGGCTCTAGGCTCAATCTCCTCACCACAAACAAAACAAAAAGAAACATAACAAAACACAGTCTGAACCTGTATACTATATGTTTACATAGTTTGAGAGTGGATTTTCTTTATTCTGCATGAAATGCACCACACCATTAGATAATGTTTTGTAGAAAGGATAAGCCTGCTTACCTAACCCCTTCACGCCAGAACTGTACCGTATGCATCTGTAGGTGTCTGCATTGCCGATGCAGGTAGACTTCCATATTGCCTTTTGTCACTGCTGCCTCAGAAGTGTACTGTTGAACAAATAATTGAAAACATTGTGTGGTTTAGGTTGGGTTAGAACTAGCAACAGTATCGCGACACTGCTGTTATCAGTAGTCACAGGGAACTGCTGTACTGAGTTCCATACTAAATTTGATACCATCACAGTTACATTTTAGATGCACTTGAATTGTCTTTGTTTCAGCTAATAATTACTTCCTGGGAGTTGATGATGAAGCAAAACAGGTGGCTGGGAATAATTAGAATTTGACTCTCACTTTATGCTTTCTTCATAAAAATGAGCAAGAAAGGAGTGGTTAATCACTGAGAATAAACTTCACATCAGCTGGGTTATGACAAAGTGTTGCCCTTAGAACATGTTTTTTAGACTGTTAACAGCTGTTGTTACCGTACCAGGGTAGCAATCTCAAATGTAGATGGAGTATCTATGTCAATGGACCTTTATTTTATTTATGTATTTACATGTGGTGCTGTGAATCAAACCCAGTTCCTCACACACATCAGGCAAGCTTTCTACCACTGAGCCATAACCTCAGCCCTAGACAGGCTGAGTATCTTAGCCTCAGCCCTTTGCTCTATCATTTGTTATGATTTTATTTCTTCGATTAATGGTTTGAGTTGTTAAATGATTGGAGAGCAAACCAGTACCCTGTTATCTTCTTGTCATCATCTTCTTACCCCAGTGCCGCAGTGCCGCATTCTCTTTAGACATATAGCAGAGCAATATGCTTGTGCATGTTTGTAAATGGTCCTGTGGAGTGAAAAGCAACCTCTCGGTATGCAAATGAGACTGAACTATATGTTCTTGACACCCTTGCAAAAATATTGTATTTGGAATCTTCTAGCTTGAGAATTTCCCAGAGTGCAGTCAGCTCATACTGGAAGCAACACTTCTTTAGGTGAACACCATTAATATCCTTTGTGCACCTGACCATTCTAGACTTAGTAGTATTGTAGTGCCAGGTTTCATTAGTTTTCTGTCATATTCTAATGGCCAGATGACATAGGGAAATGTTTTTCCTTAATTTATCCAGATTTGATTATACATTTTTTGCAGGGATTTTAATTTTGAAAAACAATTAGTGAAAGACTAATTAAGTAGAGATATGTGTCTGTGGGTGGTTTAAATACATAAGTAACAGTTCTAATCTATTCAGGATTGCTGGCAATGGATATTTGGAGGAGTTATTATTCTCTGCAACCTCTTTGGCATTTTTTATGAGTTCCTGTCCTACAAAGTATCATACAATTTGTATTTGAAGAAGATAAGAACTGGAAAAGTAACCAAAAACTGGTGGGTTTGAATATTCAGAAATCCATAATGGATTTTGAAAAGAGAAAAATGAAAGTTAAGAAACTATGCACGTCTGAAAGTTTTGCTTTTGTTGTATTTCTTTTTCCTCATCGTTTTGTTAATTATTAGCCATGTACACCCAAAGAACTCCTAGGTGGTTCTGCATCCCAATTAAAACAGGGATATTTCCTCACTTTCAGTACCCAGTTCTTACTTGTAAATAAGGTCCTTCTCAAGAGTAGTTTATTTTAAATTATTGGGTCTTCTTAAGTTTGGGATTAGCAATTCCAGAAGGGTAAATAACATGCTAGAGTCTTATATAGGGGTAGGACAGAATTCCTGACCAAATTTTGCTTTGTATTTGACTTGCAGGAATTGTGGGGGCACTCCAGTGAAGAAATGGACGAGTGTGTGTAATCATGGAATCTCCTTGCTGACCATCACCACCTGCTCTCTTTAATAAGTGAGAGAGTGGGTTAGGGGAGGAAGAAAAGAGGTCACCATGAAGCTTAAGCAGCGAGTTGTGCTGTTAGCAATACTCCTTGTCATCTTTATCTTCACCAAAGTTTTCCTGATTGACAACTTAGATACATCAGCTGCCAACCGGGAGGACCAGAGGGCTTTTCACCGAATGATGACTGGCTTGCGGGTGGAGTTGGCACCCAAGCTGGACCACACCTTGCAATCACCATGGGAGATTGCAGCCCAGTGGGTAGTACCCCGAGAAGTGTACCCTGAAGAGACACCAGAGCTGGGGGCAATTATGCATGCCATGGCCACCAAGAAAATCATTAAAGCCGATGTAGGTTATAAAGGGACTCAGCTGAAAGCCTTACTGATACTTGAAGGAGGACAGAAAGTTGTCTTCAAACCTAAGCGGTGAGTCTTCATCTCAGAAGCTATGCATGCTGTTGGTTGATTGACTTAGCCAGAGAGAGAGATGTAAGAGTGTTTATTTCTCCTCTTTGTATTCTCAGTAAAATGAAGGAAGTAGACTAGAATATCTTTGGAGTTGTGTCTAGTTGTGAAGGTTCTGTGATTCTTTTGAGTAGAGGCAATATATAGGAACAGGTTTTGGTTCCTTTAAAAGACTGAAATTTTTAACAATTAGAGTTATCCTTGATTTCTAATTATCAGATAACTACTGTGAGTCAGGTGTTAGAGATACAAAATGAATTGGTCAGGAAATAAGCAACTTATCACCAAAAAATGTACAGCTAAAGATTGGATAACCATGTTAGTGATGCTGTAGAGTAGGAGTTACCCAGAGTTGTGGGGGACTAACCAGAGCCCCTTTCAGTGCTGAAGTATTGATCCTTTCACATAGTTTTGTGTTTGAGCAGTTGTAGATTTATAGATTTTTGGATTCCAGAAATGTAAGGGATCAGTGTTTGCCTGGAACTGGGAAGTATATGTTGTATGAAAGATGTAGAAATTAGGCAAGTTGAAAAATGTGGTAAACTTTTGGAGAACAGAAATGTCTGATTGGCTGGTAATGTGGGAAAAGTATGGTTACATGGGTAGATCTGATTTCTGTTGAATGTACACCATTTGCCAGGCATTATACCAAGTACTCTTTGTATCTGTAAATGCTTTCATTTGTTGTTTTAATCAGCTTTTTTAACCACTGTGACCAATAGGCCTGACAAGAACAATTAGAGAAGGAAGAGTATATTTGGGGGTTCACTGTTTCAAAAGGCTTAGTCCATAGACAGCCATCTCCATTCTTTGGGGCCCAAGATGAGGCAGAACAAACATCATGGTAGAAGAGTGTGATAGAGGAAAGCAGCTCAGAACATGGCACCAGAAAACAGAAAGAGCTCCACTCAACAAGGACAAAATATGTACTGCAGATGCATGCCCCCAGGGACCCACCTCCTCCAGTCATACCCTACCTGCCTACCATTACCAACCAGTTAATCCCTATCAGGGGATTAATTCACTGATTGAGTTAAAATCCTCATAACCCAGTCATTTCATCTATAAACTTTCTTGCATTGTTTCACACATGACCTCATATATAAACCATAACAGTTCTTATTTGTAGAATAAGAAACAGTCTTAGTGACTTGACAAGGTTACCTCACAATAATCATTTGTGGTTTGAACCCAGATCTGTCAGAATTGTGAGCAGCTTGTATTCTGCCACATACATAATTCTTCAAGCTTCTTTCTTTGCTTTCCTGGAGCACCCATCATCAAAATTGCTAATTTAGTTCTGAAGTGTGGTCCTCGACCTCTCAGATTATAGCTTGAGAGATTAGCTGTTTGAACAAAGTAATGGATAGAAGACAAACTGAAAATAAAAATCATATTTATCTAGAAAGAGATAAGTTATGAGTATTTTGTGTTTAAAGAAGAGGAGGTCCTCTCCACACCTACTGTTTGTACATTAGAGAATTAAGGTTGAGATGGAATGTGTCAGAAGATAGATGTTCGTGATAATGTGCAGTATGGACAGAACTCATGTTCAGACAAAGTATAAATGAAGGGGAGAGAGGCCAAAATGATAAGTAAAGGAGGTAGCAACAGAAAAAGGCATAAAGCCTAGTCACTACTTGCTTGTCTCAGGTCTTATTGCCCCTGCAGCCTTCCCATTACTTTCTTCTTCCAGATCGTCCTGAAAATTCTTCCCTAAAATACTTAAATTATCACTGTGCTCCTTAACTTTAAAACATCCAAGGACTTCCCTGGCACAAATGATTATTGTGAGGTGACCCACTGGATAACACCTAGCCTCTATAGCCTACTGATCAAGGGCCCCACAGTCTGGTCCTCCTTGATATGCTATGCCTTATCTCCCTTTGCTTTTTGTTCCTATCAAACTGGGTCCTTGTTTCCCCCCACCATCCACTGGGTAGCCCGAGCCTACTCCCTTGCCCACCCAGCTTCTGCATGGCCCCTGGAAGAAGGCGTGAACTCAGTCACTGCACATACTGACCAGTGTTTCTTTACACCAGGCACTATCGAAGGTTGGGGAAGGTGGTTGGCAGGGTTTCAGTACTTTTAGAAATTGACTTCGTCCCTAAACAGCCAGCAAAATGCTGTTCTGACCTCCAGGGCCTCACAAGCTATTTAGAACTGCTGTAAGTGTAAATTGATGTCCTTGGTCAAACTCTGATGTCCTTCACTAGAAGGATAGGAGTGATTTATTGGCAGTTACTGTATGAATTTTGCTGTTTTGTCAGTGACTTAAGATGGATCACTCTGCAGAGAGGAGGGTCTGAATCTGCCAAGTTGAGACAAGCACCTTTCTTTGCAGCCACTGTGGTTTCAGCATTTCTGGAGCCTGGTTGTCCATGTCCTACTCTCAGACATAGAAGGTATGTGTAGGTAGTTGACATATATAGGAATACAGTGACACTTATATACACATTTTCCCTTACACTACCAAAGTAATTTTTTTTTTCAACATAGCTGTATTTATTCTGGAAGTAAATTGATTTTTATAGGCAAAAGCTGCAGTTATAGTAGAAAAGGAATAAGAAGGCAGGAGCCCAGAACTAGGTAGAAGTGAATGAATGATCTTAGAACATATTGGAAGGGACCTTGAAGATTAGCTAACCAAACTATTTTATAGATGAGGAAAATGAGATTCAGAGTTCTGAACTTCCATGTTCTCACAGCCAAAATATGAGCTGAGGATTCAGATGCCTGACTCCAATACAGTTCTTTCATTTTGATTCTTATTCTTTTCCTTTTTCCTTCCCTCCCTTCTCCTCCAGCCCTGGATTCCTCTAGGGTTTTACATTTCTTTGCAGTAGCCTTTAGATGTATTGGGAAGCTCTTTAATGCTTCACTTCCTGGAATGTGCTGCATATCACCACATAGCTTCCTGGGACTTCACTGAAGTCCTGAAAAATAAAGTATTCAAGAACTGTCCCCCAGCTTTATGGATAGACTTTACCTGTAATAGAGAGAAAAGTGTTGTAGTAGTATTTAAAAATTGAAATTTAATTTAGAGGCAGCCAGTGTAAACCTAAGAAACCTAAACGATCATTTGTATGGGGAGCAAAAAATATGTGGCATGTGGAATATGCTAAGAAAAATTGTGCCCACCCAAGTGATGATGCTGTTTTCTAACTTGAATGCTTCCTCACTTTGCCTTGAAGACATGTTTTTGTGATGCGATTTCACTTTGTACTCTAAGGTCATTTAAGTTGGAGGCCACTACCTTATAGTGCCATTTTCCACTTGTAGTTGTTTCAGCATTGGGAATTTCACTGTCCTTAGTGGAACTGCTTTCCTTCACTTCAGTCTCTTATTTCTATTTTACAGTTCCATTGTGAAATCTATTAGGTCCCCTTTGATTCAGGAATGCAAGTGAGCAGTAGAAGTCATAGGTGAATTAAATATTAAGATATTGTGTCCCTCTACAACTAAAACAATTTTTAAAAATTCTTTTAAGATGATTAGTATAAATATGCTGGTTTTCTTATCCTTTGTTTATGTCATGTAGGTGGTTTAAAATTCATCAGAGTGTAGTTTAAGATGAAAGATACCTTTGAAATGACCTCCCGGGGCTGGGGTTTGTGGCTTAGTGGTAGAGTGCTTGCCTAGTACGAGTTAGGCACTGGGTTTGATCCTCAGCACTACATAAAAATAAATAAATAAAATAAGGTATTGTGTCCATCTACAACGAAAAAAATATATTAAGAAAGAAAGAAATGGTCTCCTGCTCTAACCCTAATATTGTAGATAAGGAATCTGAGACCCGGAGCACAGAGGGTTTTACTCAAGGTTACCCAGTCAAGTAACAAAGAGCCACTTTCAGCTCTTGCTGCCAGGCCAGAATGGTTATTCAAGCAGCTTTCTTCAGAAGTACTTTTGCCTTCTCACTAAAAAAAAAATTAAGCAGTGTCAGGACTATTTTTCCCAAAGAAATTTAAACTTCTTTTATAAGCCTTACCACAGCCATTCTGGTAAGCTGAAGTTTTTCCTTTATTTCTTTAGTTCGCTATTTAGTAGACGTTTATTAAGCACTAACTGTAGGTTTAACACTATTCTGGCAATATACAGATGGTTCTTGCCTTCCAGAAAATTACTATGTAGCTGTATTTTAACTGCATTGAAAGCCTGTTAGATGGGTAACAATAACATCTTCCATGTTTTGGTCATTGAATGATTGCTAGGGCAGATAGGGAATTCTGGTTTCCTTCTTTACCTGATCTTTAAGCCATCTACCAATAATTGGTGCTAGCCCAGAATTGTTCTTGAGGTTGACAGAGAAGGTGTCAAAGGAGCACAGTCAGGTTTGCTCTGACTCTATATTCTACCTCTTGTGCTGTCACTTCTGATACTGGTATAATTCATGTCAACATTTGTGCTTCCCATTCCCTTTGTAGGTATAGCCGAGACTATGTGGTGGAAGGGGAGCCATATGCTGGTTATGATAGACACAACGCAGAGGTAGCAGCCTTTCATTTGGACAGGTACGTGTAATCCCAATGGGTTATATTCACTCCGTTTCCTTTTCAGAATCTCTCTTGAAGAGAACTGTGAACTCCTCCTAAGTGTGACACTTTAATAACTTGGACTTGTTACCTATTTTAAATAACTGGTTGACTAAATTCCATTATGTTTGTGTGAGTCCCTCATATGGGTGACACCAGGAACACCAAAGTAAATTTTAACTTCAGAGTTTTACTTCCTTTTACCTCATGACATTCCTGGCATTCCGTTTGTCATTATCATGAGTGAAGATCTTGATAAATAAAATGGCAGGATGAAAACCAAATTTTTGAATTCAGATGTCTGAATTATTATTGGTCATTAAAGTAAGTCATACTGACTCATCCCCACATACTAGCAACATACAGCTTGAAATATATTCTCTTGTATTTTTAAAATTTATATATATAGATATACAAATATATGTGTGTGTGTTGATGTGTATATATAAATATGTATGTGTGTATGTATGTATATATATACATGTATGAAAAACATATTAACTGCCTCAAAAAACAGTAATTAAAAAATAGATATGAATTCTATAATCAGAAAAATTAATAGGTTTTTCTCAGTAGGTTTCTAGTCAGAACCTATTAGCTGAGGTGTCTAGTATTCCAATTACTCATCTCACCAGTTCTATGTGGCATATTGACTGACTTTAAATGAAATTATTCACAATATTTGTTTAAAAATAAATCTATAAGAGAACCATAAAGAAATAAGGGTGAATTTTTTTTTTCTATTAGGAAGGATTTTTTACATGTTTCTACAAATCTGTGTATACCCTAAAATTTTATTAGAAAATGTGTCAAGAACACAGGAAGTTAACTGAATAGGAATTATCAACTGCTAAAGATTTTTTTTAAAGGGTAATACTTTATTGGCAGGAATAGATATGCTTTAAAATAAAATTCTTAATTTCAATCTTTCTGTTAAGAACTCTGGCATTTTGTATCAAAGTATTAAATGTTCATACCCTTTGAACAAATAATTACCTTTTTATGCATATATCTAAGGTATTTCTAAGAAGTACCCTGGAGAAATAATAAAAAAAAATTAGATATATGTACAGTTATTTTAGCTGTAGCATTTTATAGTAGTAAAAAACTGGTAACAAACTAAACACCTACTAATATGGAAAAACTCAAATAAATGTTTATAATACCATGAATTTGGGCAACATCTTTTAAGACCTAATGACTGAGAGTTGGGTAAATCTTATTCCTCACATTATGGCACACTGGAATCAAGCTGTCCAAGACTTTGTTTATTTGCCTATTTTCTTCATTCCCAGCTCTTTTCTTGTTTCCCATTTGTTGAACACCAGCAGGTCATGAAGAACATCATTTCTCCATTTCCAGAATAATATTTATATTATCCAATATGGGAATTTTTGTTAATATATATAAAGAGGTATCTCATTATTCTTTTATTTTTTATTTTTCCAGCTCTGACAAGTTTTAATTTTTCACACAGTGAACATAGAGTGAGATATTCTTCGTACAGAAATAGTTACTTTTGATAACAATTGAACATAATATTGTAGTTTATGATTTGTGCTTTGGGGTCTTGTATTTGAAAGTTCTTTCCTACCTTAAAGCCAGATATTCTCTGGACAACCCCTGTCTCTTTGTTAATTGCTCCTAACTAGCCCCAAGTGCTGCTGTGATACTGCCCTTCAGCACTAAACTGCCTGCTGTCCTTTGGCCAGCAGTGGTCAGTGGGGAGAAAGACTACATCCCACCCTTTTTCTTCTGTTCATCGCTCCTGACACTTCTGCTTTGGTTTTGCTGTTTTTCTATTACACTCAGATTCAGATACCTTCTTGTGCCTTAGGGGTTTTCTCTCAATTTTTGTGTTACTTTGCAGATCTGTTGGTCTCTTTGGTTTTGTGGCTTTTCTAAGATTAGGTTTAGGGCAGAATCAGCAGCCTAAATAGTGGATTATTTATTACATAACCACTTTTAAAGTCTTTCTAATGATATGGGGAAGGTTCGTGATGCAAGAATGAGTAAAAAGCAGGATGCAAAGCTGTACACAGTGTAACTCCGTGATATGCACATACATGTAAGAATGTTTATACATACATGTGTGAGCATATGTAACTCAGAATATGTTTTTACATGCATTTAAAACTATATAAGTATGAGCTCAATGGTGTGTGCATATGTGTAGTATGTGTTTATACATTCATGGAAAGGAAAAATGCTTACATGCCAAAATGTTATTTCTAGGTTGTGGAATTATGGATGATCTTTATTTTCTTCATTATTAATTTTTTCTGTGTTCCAAATTCTGCCCCTCTAATTTTTCTTCAGGGAGTGTGTGTTTATTAGCCAGGAAGATTAATTTATTTGAAAAATGATTGTTTTTAATCATAAGGTAGTGCTTTTTAGACCATTGATGACAGAGACCTCCAGATATTCTGTATTTAAGTTGTTCTGTGTTTATTCTTATAGGTCAATTTGCATAGTTTTATCAGTGTGCTATTTTACTCAAAGTTTTGAACCCATGTATGAGTTTTTTTTAATACTTTCTTTATTTTTAATTTTTATTATGAAAAATTTCTAACAGTAGAGAGAATAGCATAATGAACTGATATACTCATTCCTTAGACTTAACAGCTATTCACATTTTGGCCAGCTAGCCTAATCCTTTTTGCTAAAGTGGAAAATAAATTACATCAATCTTAACATTAAACTCCTAAATATATGTACCTCTAAAAAACAAGATTTACCTGCCTACCTAAATCTCTTCACACATCTAACATGATAAACATAATTTTTGAGACTGTTATTTATTTAAAATACATCTTTAAGAATCTTTTTCTTCTCTTCTTCAACCTTCCAAATCAGGATTCTGGGTTTCCGCCGAGCCCCCTTGGTGGTTGGCAGGTTTGTTAATCTACGGACAGAGATCAAGCCTGTTGCTACGGAGCAGCTGTTGAGCACCTTCCTAGCTGTAGGTAAGAAGATTATAGAGGACATTTAGATAGGGGAACAGTTAATAAGTTAAATGGGGCATCATCAGCAAGGAGGTTCACATTTCTTAGGACTTGAAGAACTTGAGAGAACACAAAAACAAATAAGCAGAGCCAGGTGCCATGGCACTCGCCTGTAATCCCAGTGACATGGGAGATTGAGGCAAGAGGACCACAAGTTCAAGGCCAGCCTCAGCTATTTAGCAAGGCCATCAGCAACTTAGTGAGACTCTGTCTCAAAATAAAAAGGCTAGGGATGTGACTCAGTGGTAAAATGCCCATGGGTTAAATCCCCAGTAATAAATAAACAAACCAAATAAACAACCTGGTCTTGGGTTGGTGGGGGAAACAGATTTAAAGGTAAATGGAAATGAAATGTTGCCCAGTGCATACCTTCTTGCCTCTGAAGTAGAAAGCAAGGTAAGTTACTAATAGTGAAAGCAGTGATAATTTTATTTCTTCCACTTGGTCTCACAGTTAAGTCTCAAAATCAAAATTTGGCCTAAATAAGTTACTATTATATATCATTGGCTCACTTATTTTTTATATACATGTGTTTTCTTGGCAGCTGTCTTCTTATAATTGAAGAAACTTTAAGGTAACTCTGTAAGGGGATCAGATATTCCCTTGTAGGGTTGCATTTGGGCCTGGAACATCACCACCACCTCCTCCTACTCTGCAAGGGTCACCTTAACTCATTGTGCATGAAGCTAGCTATGATGCCTCTGGTTTCCATTATCTCACTCTGAAATGAGGGATCTAACATTCTCACTTCCAGTCCCTTTGTGGGCATGATGAGAATGGGAAAAAAATCAGAGGTGCTATGGTTTCTTGTTTCAACCTCTTCATAGTGACTCTTCTTCAGTGATGTGGTATTCTCCTTTGTGGCATGAATGTTGAGAAGATATTACAAAATGAGACAGATATTATAAAAGTCCTTTTTAAAAAAAAATTTGTATTTGTTTTAACTAGTTATACAGTAGAATGTTTTTATTTATGCACTTTGATGTATCATACATACATGACATATAATTTCTCATTTTTCTGAGTGTACATGTTGCAGAATCATATTGGTCATGTAGTCATATATATGCATACAGTAATAATGTCTGTTTCATTCTAGTATCTTTCCTATCCCCACATCCCCTCCCCTCCCCTCCCCTCTACCTAATCTAAGGTGTTTTATCTAGGGTAATCTCTTCTTCCCTGGTGCCACTTCCCCCGCTTTATTGTGAATTAGCATATGCATATTAGATAAAACATTTGGCCTTTGGTTTTGTGGAATTGCTTGTTTCACTTAGCATGATATTCTCCAGCTCCAACCATTTACTGGAAAATACCATAATTTCACTCTTCTTTAAAGCTGAGTAATAGTCCGTTGAGTATATATACCACCTTTTCTTTATCCATTCATCTACACCTAGGTTGGTTCCATAGTCTAACTATTGTGAATTGAGCTTCTCAATATAGTATGCTGATTGTAAGTCCTTTGGGTATAAACCAAGGAGTGGGATATTACCTGGTCTTGTCACTATAGTATGCTGATTTTAAGTCCTTTGGATATAAACCAAGGAGTGGGATAGCTGGGTCAAATGGTAGTTCCATTCCAAGTTTTCTGAGGAATCTCCATACTGCTTTCCATAGTGGTTGCACCAATTTGCAGTCCCACCAGCAATGTAAGAGTGTACCTTTTTCCCCACATCCTCGCCAACATTTATTGTTGCCTGTATTCTTGATGATTGCCATTCTGACAGGAGTGAGAGGAAATCTTAAGAGTATTTTTGATTTGCATTTCTCTAATTGCTAGAGATGTTAAACACTTTTTCATATATTTGTTAATCAGTTGTATTTCTTCTTCTATGAAGTGTCTGCTCAGCCCTTAGCCCATTTATTGATTGGGTTTATTTTTTATTTTTATTTTTTTGGTGGTAAGATTTTTGAGTTCATCGAAGTACACGTGGTAAAGATTCTCTCCCAATCAGTAGGCTCTCTCCTCACTTTATTGTTTGCTGAGAAGAAACTTTTTAAGTCAAGTTCATCCCACTTTTTAATTCTTGATTTTACTTCTTGCGCTTTAGGAGTGTTGTTAAGGAAGTCAGATCCTAGGCCAATGTGGTGAAGATTTGGGCCTGTTTTTTCTTCTGTTAGGCATAGCGTCTCTGTTCTAGTGCCTAAGTCTTTGATCTACTTTGAGTTGATTTTTGTGCAGGGTGACAGATGAAGGTTTAATTTCATTTTGTTATGTGTGGATTTCCAGTTTTACTAGCACCTAACCCTAATCGTCTATCTTTTATCCAGTGAATGTTTTTGGCACCTTTGTATAGTATCTCATATCTATATTTATGTGGGTTTGTCTCTGTGTCCTCTATTCTGTGCCATTGGTCTACAAGTCTACATACCAATACCATGCTGTTTTTATTACTGTAGCTCTGTAGTATAGTTTAAGGTCTGCTATTGTGATTGGTTGGTATCGTGATGGTCTCCTGCTTTACTTTTCTTGCTAAGGATTGCTTTAGTTATTCTGGATCTCTTATTTTTCCAAATAAATTTCATGATTGCTTTTGCTATTTTTATGAAGAATGTCATTGGGATTTTAAGAGGAATTACATTAAATCTGTATAACGCTTTTGGTTGTATGGCCATTTTGACAGTATTAATTCTGCCTATCCAGGAACATGGGAGATCTTTCCATCTTCTGAGGTTTTCTTTAATTTCTTTCTTTAGTGTCATGTAGTTTTCATTATAGTGGTCTTTCACCTCTTTTGTTAGATTGAGTCCCAGGGTTTTTTTTGAGGCTATTGTGAATGGAGTAGTTTTCCTAATTTCTGTTTCAGTGGACTCTTTGCTGATGTACAGGAATATGTTTGATTTATGGGTGTTGATTTTATATCCTGCCTCTTTGCTGAATTCATTTATTAGTTCTAGAAGTTTTCTGGTGGAATTTTTTAGATTCTTCTAGATATAGAATCATGTCATCGGCAAATAGTGATAGTTTGAGTTCTTCTTTACTTATTTGTATCCCTTTAATTTCTTTCTTTTGTCTAATTGCTCTAACTAGCATTTCAGAGATGATGTTGAATAGAAGTGGTGAAAGAGGACATCATCTTATTCCAGTTTTTAGCAGAAATGCCTTCAATTTTTTTCCATTTAGAATGATATTGGCCTTGGATTTAGCATATATAGCTTTTACAATGTTGAGGTATATTCCTACTACCCCTAGTTTTTCTAATGTTTTGAAAATGAAGGTGTGCTGTATTTTGTCAAATGGTTTTTCTGCATCTATTGAGATGATCATATGATTCGTGCTTTTAAGTCTGTTAATATGATAAATTATGTTTATTGATTTCCTTATGTTGAACCAACCTTGCATGCCTGGGATGAATCCCACTTGGTCATGGTGCACTGTCTTTTTAATGTTTTTGTATGCGATTTGCCAGAATTTTATCGAGAAATTTTGCACCTGTGTTCATCAGGGATATTAGTCTGAAGTTTTCTTTCCTTGATGTGTCTTTGTCTAGTTTTGGTGACAGGATGATATTAGCCTCATAGAATGAGTTTGGAAGGGTTCCCTCTTTCTCTATCTCATGGAACACTTTGAAGAGTATTGGTGTTAATTCTTCTTTGAAAGTCTTGTAGAACTCAGCTGTGACTCCATCTGGTCCTGGGCTTTTCTTGGTTGGTTGGCTTTTGATGGTGTTTTGTATTTCATTACTTGAAATTGATCTATTTAAATCATGTATGACCTCCTCATTCAGTTTGGGTAGGTCATATGTCTCTAGAAATTTGTTGATGTCTTCGATATTTTCTATTTTATTAGAACATAAATTTTCAAAATAGTTTCTAATTATATTCTGTATTTCAGACGTGTCCATTGTGATATTTCCTTCTTCATCTTGTATTTAGTAATTTGAGTTTTCTCTCTTTTTCTCTTTGTTAGCATGGCCAGGGGTTTATCTATTTTATTTATTTTTTGAAGAACCAACTTTTTGTTTTGTCAGTTTTTTCAGTTGTTTCTTTTGTTTCAATTTTATTAATTTCAACTCTGATTTTAATTATTTCCCATCTTCTACTGCTTTTGGTGTTGATTTGTTCTTCTTTGTTTAGGGCTTTGAGATGTAGTGTTAGGTCATTTATTTGTTGACTTTTTATTCTTTTAATGAATGCACTCAATGCAGTAAACTTTTTTCTTAGTACTGCCTTCATAGTATCCCAGAGGTTTTGATATGTTCTATCAGTGTTCTCATTTACCTCTAAGAATTTTTTTTATTTTATCTTTGACTTCTTCTACTATCCATTCATCATTCAATTGTGTATTATTTAGTCTCCATTTGTTACAGTCACTTGTATTTTTTATTTTATTGTTTATTTCTAATTTCATTCCTTTGTGGTCTGATAGAATTCAGGGTATTATCTCTGGGTTTTTGGGGGGTTTTTTTTGTATTTACTAAGAGTTGCTTTGTGGCATAAGAAGGAGCCATGTGCTGCTGAGAAGAAAGTATATTTGCTCATTGATGGATGAAATATTCTGTCTAATAAGTCTAAATTATTGATTGTATTATTTAGTTCTATAGTTTATTTAGTTTTTGTTTGGAAGATCTGTTCAGTAGTGAGAGAGGTGTGTTAATGTCACCCAGTATTATTGTATTGTGGTCTTTTTGACTCTTGAAATTGAGAAGGGTTTGTTTGATGTACATAGATGCTCCATTGTTTGAGGCATAAATACTTATAATTGTTATGTCCTGCTTATATATACTTCCCTTAAGAAGTACGAAATGTCTTTCTTTGTCTCTTCTGATAAACTTTGGTTTGAAGTGTACTTTATCTGAAATGAGAATGGAAACCCCTGCTTGTTTATGCAATCCTTATGAGTGATAAGTTTTTCCTATCCTTTCACCTTCAGTCTGTAGATGTCTTTCCCATGAGGTGAGTCTCTTGAAGACAGCATCTTGTTGGCTTGCTTTTTAATCCAATCTGCCAGTCTGTGT